TGTGCATGTTGTTTGACGTTCCTAACAGAACCCAACATTATGAACTGTATTTCTCTCCTATTTTTTCTTTTAACTTGAATGGCAATGTGTGTGGCTATGTGACTTCTTCAAAGGGGATTAGACAGGGAGAACCCCTGTCCCCTTATTTATGCAATTTGGTCTAAGAGATTTTTTCATCCTGCTAAAATCATAAGGTCTCTTGTGGTGTGTTCAGTGGAACTAAAGTTTCTAGAGATGGTCCAATGGTCTCACATTTGCTTTTTGCTGATGATGCCTTGTGTTTTATAAGGCTGATGAGGCTCATGCAGACATGTTGCTGGATATCCTTTATAAGTATCAGTTGTTTGAAGGTCAGAAAGTGAATCTGCACAAGTCTTCTCTTTTCTTGAGCAAAAATGGGTCTGCAGCTCTGAGTGCTAGGCTTTATTCTATTTTGGATGCATTGAAGGTTAAGAGATCATCCAGGTATCCTGGTTTACCCTTAGAGATTTGGGCTTCTAAAGTAGATACCTTTCAGTTTGTTGTTGATGTTGGGAGAGCCAGGATCTGTAGCTGGAAAAATCATTTCTTATCAACTGTAGGGAAGGAGATTTTGGTGATAACTGTGCTATGTGATTTTCCTAAATTATTGAACCAAAGCATGTCAATCAATCTGAATCCAGCGAATAAAGTGCTACTTAGAATGATTGCATCTCCTCTTGTGATCATGCTTTTGACTTGTTATCTTTATGGCAAATATGTGGAAGTGTTAAGTGTATGTATATGAAATCTCACCTCAAATTGAATTGTATTAAGTACTAAAACAGGTAAATTGCACCAAACCCCTTTGTGTTTTGCCAAATGTGCGTGTTTCCCCACTGTGTTTTAAAAATGACCACTGCGTTAGTGCACACGCTCCCTGTTTTCTGTTTCCCCGTCAAATCCACATTAAGCCTCTGAATATTATATATATATAATATATAGAGAAGGGATCATATGAGAATGATAGATAGTGAAAGAAATAAGAATGATTATATACCATTGGATCGGTACGATCAATGAACATAATTAAGTCAAATTTGATTTAAGAGGTCAAACCTACAATGGCAAAACTGTAAATAGATTATTATACCGTGACCAAATAAATAGCTGGAAGGGCACTGTTGTAATTTTATCAAATAACAAACATCAGTGGGCCCCACCAATTTAAATAAATAAAATCTTTTTTTCTCTCTTCTCCCCTCTCTCCCCTATCTTCTCCCCGTTTCTCTCTCCTCTCTCTCCTCTCTCCTCTCCCCTCTCTCCTCTCCCTCCTCTATCATTTTCCATCTCTGCTTCCCCTCTCCACGCCAGCAGGTCGCGGCCAGACTGAAGATGCATCGCTCCACCGCGGTCATTCGCCGCCGTCGACCGAAGATGCCTTTCGACAAGATCGCCGTTCATCTCGCCGCCGTAGACAGGTTCGATCCCACCACGCAGATTCCGGCAAGTCCTCCAGAGCTCACGGCGAGTACGTCGACGACCACAGAGATCGCCGCCGTCAACAAACCTCCACCACGCGCAACCGGCCCATGCCAGCTCCGCCACCACGCGCACCAGCTGCGCCACCACGCCACCACGACAGCTCCACCACCACCGCCTGCCGCGCCAACCTCGCCGGACTCGGTCGCCGGCCATAAACCAATCGCCGCCTCTGAACGTTCACCGGCAGAAATACATAGGGAGAAAGAGAACTTTGCATTTGGCAATGTGTGGGGCTCTTTTTTTGAGAATTTGAAATATTTAAAGGATTCAATTGCAATTTTATAAACATTAATTTATGACAATTCAATACATGTGTTAAGATTTATAAAAATTTAAATACTTGCGCATTAGTTTTATTTTTCTTTATTTTTTTTTTTGCTCTTTGCACATTAATGTTATGTAACTTGCACATTAATATTTTTATCTAACATATTATTTATTTTAATTAAAAATAATATATTTATAAGAAAATATAAAAAATATTATTTGTTTATACGGTTTGGTCGATCCGGTTATTTTGTTATTTAAAAATTAAAAAACGAAAAATGACATCGAAATAATTAAATTTTATAGGTAAACACGCATAATTGATCTGACATAATATTCGAATACAAAAAAACAAGTCAATCGAGTTCGGTCGGTATAGTGCAATATGACAGTCACTAATGTGCAATTCGTCTAACGTTAAAGTGCAATCAGTCAAACACTAACACGTATTCGAAGTGCAACTATTTTTTGTAACAAAATATATTTCGTATTAATAAATTTTGTAGTTAATAGTTTATATTGTTGTTTGATGCAAATAAATAATATATATAAATAAATTTTAAAAAATAATATTCTTTTATGTAGTTCGTTCGATTATTTAAAATATGTTGTTTTATAAAGTGCAATGTATAGTTTTATAAAGTGCAATAATATATAGTTCGATCGATTATTTAAAACATATTGTTTTATAAGCTGCAACATGTTGTTTTATAGAGTGCAATATTCTGCTATATAAAGTGTGATAATATATAGTTCGATGGTTTTTTAAACATATTGTTTTATATGGTGCAACATATGTTATATAAAAATTTATTTAGTATTTATATTTTTTATTTAATATTAAATTACCATTGGTTGAAAATTAAATAATATAAATATATAACATATGATAAAATTATATTTATTATACATTATTTTCGTTTGCATTTTATATTATTGTTTGTTGAAACAAATAACATATATAATAGATAATATTTAATTTAATATTTTCTATTTACTATTTGTTGAAGACAAATAATATTTTTCACATAGTTCGGTCGCTCGATCGTTGTAATGTGAAGTCCTACAAACGGTTACGTGCAAATCGCATAACACTATTGTGCATTCGTATTATGGTCATTTTTAACAATTTATACCAAAGCGGACCAACCGTTATTATCGTGCAATTTGTTAGTCGTGATAAAGTGCGCGGTGATGTGCTTGAAAGTGCAACATGTTGTTTTATAAAGTGCAACTTATTAATGTATATAGTGAATTACTATAATTATGATACGTTGGCATACTTGTGTTTTGGGTGTATAGATGGTGTGAGTGATGTTAAAATATTATTTTATCCGTTGTTTAGATTTTTTTTTTTTTTTTGTTGTGTGGTATTTCGGCTGGAGATGATTGTGTATTGTGACGATAAAGTGATATTGTACTATAAAGTGCAACGTGTTGAATTATAAGGTGCAACATATTGATATATAACGTGCAATATTTTATATGATCACACTAACAAAATTGCCTCTTAACACTATTTTTTTTTTTAAATGTCAATGACTAAAATTCTAATTTGAAATTATTATTGAAAAAATTGAAATAATTTATTAATTATATTATAAAAATATATTTAATA